GTGGTACAGATAGAGCTTCCGTTTGGGGAAGCAATTGAACCAATCACACTTTGAACGGAACGTTGACACTCGTGGGACGAGCTATCAATAGATGGATATCTCATAGCCTTGCACTCAGCGTCTAGAGGTTGACCTTCTTGATGTGGACGTACTTCTATAGACTGATCAACATGTTCAGTCGAAATTACAGCATCCATAGACGAGGATACTAACCATGGTGACATAACTGACGTCATTGGGGAGAAGTAGACCGACCCATAAGAACGTAGAGATTCATTAGAGTCAAATACGGCACAATGGTGCTGTATGTTATCCGCTCTAGATGGTAGAGAACGAACACGCCTTTCAGAGGAAGCCATAACAGATGGCTTCTTGATATCAGCGTTGCCAAGATCGGGCATAGACGTTGATCTAGTGCACATAGGGGCTCGGAAAGATATCCCGGTAGAATGTACGGGACGACTTAGAGTAGAACTAGAAGAAATCAGTAGTGGTCTTGAAGTAGATGTACTTCTTGGTGGTTCAGTCGCGTCGTTAGACGGAGGTGTAGAGGGAGTTAAACCTGTTGAATCATGAGGAAATGCACAGCGATCACGGTTAGACAATTTCATTCCAGATCTAAGTAACATCCCGTGTAGCTTGTAACACGATCAGGTGAGGCAATAGAGATTACGATGCGATACTAGTGAGGACTGGTTAACTCAAGTAGAACTAGAGTTAGGATGAGGTAGCAGATCACACAATCAGTCACTGGACTCAGTCCAGTCTAACAATTACCAACTAGAATACTAGCTTTCCTAGCTTACTAGCTACTAGCTTAGAGAAAACCAGAGACGGATCTAACCGTTTCTAGTATCCAAAACCGTTAGATAGATGCATCCGAGCGAGGATAATAATATTATAGTTCAACAATAGAATACGAGGCGAGCGAGATCTTTGTCGCGCTGCCACGATGGGACAGCACATCACGAAAGTTTCGTGGCGCGAGATTTAATTTCGTGGCGCGTGACAAAATACCATCTCGCCGATTCTACTGCGTGTAACGAATTTCTCAAGCATTCTATTGGGTACATATATTAGCTGGCCTCAGATAAGATACATTCTAGGTCATCTCAGCGTGTGGTGGACCCTAAGGAACATTCTTTGGAAATAGTGACACCGTTTCGTTGTTTTGGTGACGCCATTCCGCCTAGCTCGTCAACCCTTACATGTCTCCATATGACCATGTGCATGGCCTCTCCATCAATAACAAGGGCGGATTCATAAGTTGATTATTTCGAGGAAGAACATTTGCTCGATCCCTGACCGAGGATCGAACCGAGGATCTCTCGATGTGCAATCCAATCCCAATTCCAAATGGCCAATCAGTCTTGTTGAAAATTGTTATGCATCACATGAACCGGTTATGAGATTTATATTTCCCCATTCATGTTTATTATAATATATATCGTCTATTATGTAATCGTTAGTATTTCATTGTGAAAATGATGCCATGATGTTCCTTATGTGTTGGTGAGGATTTTTTTCCAAGAACTTCAACCTCAAGTCGTGTGTGAAAATTGAGAATTGAGCATTGACTTCTACACTATTGTGGTTATCTGGGATACTACGTAACAGTGGCGTGAATTTTACGATACTTTACTTAGCTTTAGGACTTTTCCTTAGTCATGTCCGAGCCCACATCCCCGTCATTTTGCTCATCGGCGGCATCAGAAGCTTCTACAGTTCCCTCAGCTGTTGAACCACCACAGGTTGTTGGTACAGCTAAGGAACTTCAGAATGGTGCGGTATGTAAGGAGATGAGTAGCGGAATATCTCTGAGGTAATAGTAGTAGTAGTAGTAGTAGTAGTAGTAGTAGTATGCTACGTAGTTCCCAAAGCTAATCATAGGAGTTCGGGTCAAGTGTACAGAAACCAACAAGAAATCCCCAGAATTTTCTCGCTATTTTCAGACTGTCATCAACACGTGTATTCTACGACATGCATATCTTCACACACTTCACATGGCATTCAGCGGGAGGGCAATTTCCTGTTGGTGTGAAAAATTCACATTAGCAATTCTCAATAATATGGTCGTATTCCAACAGAGTCACCGTTTGAATTTCTATTTTACGCCTACTTGGTGCTAATTTCGTGCAGGCCCAACAGCTGTGTGTATGTTGGCGCATACTAGTCGTGCCTTCCTTACACGCTATGTTGGTTGATTCTCAATCTGTAACTTCTCGGCTAGAGTTGAGATCCAACCTTTCTTAGTGTGATCAAGCACGTTAGAAAGCGTTGGATGTGTAGTCTCTGCCGAGCTCATCTTGCGTGATTCATCATTCTGGTTCGACGATGAATAATGGAGTTTCACCCGTTTCACGTGAAGTAGCGTAAAACTCCGTGAAAAACGCGATATTTCCGCCTTGCAATAGTCGTAAAATGTGTTTTTCATATCACGGGTGAAACTCCAATGATAAGTTGTAAATCGCTGAAATCATTCAATGCATTTAGCAATTTTCGAATATGGTCATTTTTCTCAGGCAATTTATTCTAATATGTTTGAATGCGTTGGTTACTATCGGTCTATCCGTACCCTTTATGTTCACTACTACTGGTTTGTTGGCGATCCCGATACAAGCTATGACTGGAATTTCGATATTCCTTTGCATACGGATCGTGAGTAAAGCGTTAAGTCATGAGAAGGTAAGATTGGTGAAAATGGTAAAGAAAAAATGCTTCGCTCCGCTGTGTTAGGTTAAGGAATATGCTGATGAAAGAGGCATCCCATTGTTCGAGCGAGAGTATACTTTTCTCGCCGAGTTTTGCGGTGGGAAACTCGGAAGGAGGATCGCTTCTATGGTAGGTTATTGCGTCACTGCGCCACAAAATTCAAACGAATTAATTATGATGAACGGCATAATTTTATCTACTCGTTGAACCACTCAGGATCGTCATGGCATTTCGATGTCACCACAAAATTATGAGTTCGGTTGTACCCATTTGGTAGGGATAGTAGACACTGGATCGAATAAGTGGAGAAGGCGTCTCGAAATTCATAGAGTTCAGGCTGATATGATCTGGTCTCGAACATAAGGGAGAAACAATTGTATTTCAAACTTTGCGGTTGGTGCTGAAGTAGAGGCAGATGAAAATTTGCGGCTTTCTTTCCGCGTTAATTTTTTTTGTTCAACGTGTTTTGTAGTTTTTCATTCGAGAAATAGAAGAATATCTTTTTGTTTTTTATATACTGTAAATCATTGCATTATTTTTTCATCAGACGATATTCCTGGAATATTTCATCTCCATTATAGGGTTAATGGCAGCGATGGGAATCACTACGAATATCATAATTGATGCAATCACAGGTTAGAGGCGTATCTTTGAGGCGCACAGCGAAGATTTTAATGATACTTATTTCAGTTGAATGGTGGATCATCATATTCTCATTCTTGTCTCTGCTGATAATTGTTTGTCCCTTTATGAAAGAAGTCAACGGTGTGCTGGCGATAGCTGCAGTAGTCACAACATTCGCGGGTTTACTGCTGTGGGTGAGTTCTCGTTGGGATTCTGTGAGATGGTTTTTTTCATACCACACCATGAGTAATTCAGATAACAGCAGGTGTTATGGTAGAGAGCTCCCATCTTAAAAAGACTGAGCCGAATCTGCTACTCGAAGACCCACCTGTCCAGCATTTGTTTACCGCACTTTCCTTATCAATTTGGAACTCTGGTGCAGCGCCATCTTTGCCGCCTTTCTACGGTTGTGTCAAAAGTAGCTGCTTGTTGTGCATGCGTGCAAAAGATATTTAGGAGGTTCGCTTTTAGACACATCCTCGAGTCGCATCACAATGTGGATGCTTATTTGTTTGGTCATATCGATTCTTTACGTCTTCGTTCTGGGAGCCGGCGGAATTTTAATCTGTGACGGGCCTTGTGAGCAAGTGTACATAGAAAACCTCTCGCGTAAGTTGATGGGTAGAAGTTTGGGTTAACGGTTATGGTGATGGGCTGTGATGTGTAAGGCCCAGGTTCGATTCTAGGTGATGATATTTCAAAATTCATATGTCAGATCTTTTACGTGAGACGGTGACCCGTAGTCGAGAGTAAGGTCCTAGTTGTTATGAAAAAGGTTTTTTGAAAAACACTTTCAAGTTTGCTGACTTCAAGATCCCTTGAAATCATCTTCAACCTGATACTTGTGTGAATCGTTTGGCAAATCTTTAGAATCCTCGTTCATAGTTGGAATTGTTGTTCACAGTTATGTATACACCGAGTTGCATAACGCTTTGTACTGTAGTGGTTATGGTGTTCATTCTTGATGCATTTGATCTGGGTTCGATTCCTGAGAATGTCACTTCTCAGTTGCTCCCGATGGCGTCCTCCCGAAGTGGCTAATTTACACAGGGTGTGCTTTACTTCTGT